ACCACGTGGTTAATGTTGACGTTAGCACCAATGTTGCGACAGGACATCTCTTAGTCAAGTAGGCCAATAACTTGCTATCGTGTATTTTCTGATGAATACCACCTGATTTCATGTTAGATTGCAGACAGGACGGGAACTTATACAAGCTGTCAATCATCAGTCATGTAAAAAGACTTCCCATTGCCATGTCCCACACAGAGGGAGACGACGCCAGTCCAGCAATTGTTGTCCTAATGTACTTTACGGACTGGTAATTTATAATGCGGGGTGGGTTTATTGATGAGATTGGGCATAGGGGCTGTACTGTATTTTGTCTAGGACCCCACATTAAATAGATAAGTTTTTCCTGACCCTCCCCAAAATACACGTAACAAATGATTTATGCCGTTCATAAATGTTCAAGTATATTTTTTCGTTATTTGATAAAAAAATACCACTGTGTCAGTTGCCCTTGGAGATAAATTGTTTCCAACCTATGCGATTCTCTGTGCTTCTTTTCCAGTCCCGAGCCGACTCTCTTCCTTTTGACACAACGTTAAATTATGGTCAAAACAACGTTAAACCCAACTCACTGACTCACTCCCTGGTGTACGCTCAGCTCAGTTGTGTGTGGTTGAAAAGGGGTTGATCTCGAGGATACCGGCAGCCACGCCACAGCTAAATATCCCCGCACGGCGATAGGATACCATTCATTGTAACCTCTTTGAGAGGTATTCTAAGTTGGGGCACTCAGAACGTGAGGAAGACATTTTTCCTTGCAGATGATTTTTAATCATTAAGGACATTTAGTTAATTGTCACAAATTAGGCACTTCGTCTAAAGTCGAGTTTTGAACAGTCAACGAGACTGATCAGTCAACTCTGTCTGGGAGTGAGTGAGTTTGTTTTACGCCGCTTCTAGCAATATTCCAGCAATATCACGGCGGAGGATACCAGAAATGGGCTTCACACACTGTACCCATGTGGGGGATCGACCCCGGGTCTTTGGCGTGACGAGCCAACGCTTTAACCACTAGGCCACCCCATCGCCCCAACTCTGGAAGCAGCTGGGCAGATTCGGGAAGGTACAGGATGGCGCTGACGCCCAGTCGTCTAGGGCGCCGCAAATCGCTGCATACATACGTGACTCTTAGTTTGAAGTCGACATTCCCCCAGATCATTCCTTTATCACCATTACCCTTGCTTGTCATAAGAGGCGACTAACGGGATCGGGTGGTCTGGCTCGCTGACGTGGTTGACACATCGTATCACCATTACCCTTGCTTGTCAGAAGAGGCGACTAACGGGATCGGGTGGTCTGGCTCGCTGACGTGGTTGACACATCGTATCACCATTACCCTTGCTTGTCATTAGAGGCGACTAACGGGATCGGGTGGTCTGGCTCGCTGATTTGGTTGACACATCGTATCACCATTACCCTTGCTTGTAAGAAGAGGCGACTAACGGGATCGAGTGGTCTGGCTCGCTGACGTGGTTGACACAACGTATCACCATTACCCTTGCTTGTCATTAGAGGCGACTAACGGGATCGGGTGGTCTGGCTCGCTGACGTGGTTGACACATCGTATCACCATTACCCTTGCTTGTAAGAAGAGGCGACTAACGGGATCGGGTGGTCTGGCTCGCTGACGTGGTTGACACATCGTATCACCATTACCCATGCTTGTAAGAAGAGGCGACTAACGGGATCGGGTGGTCTGGCTCGCTGATTTGGTTGACACATCGTATCACCATTACCCTTGCTTGTAAGAAGAGGCGACTAACGGGATCGAGTGGTCTGGCTCGCTGACGTGGTTGACACATCGTATCACCATTACCCTTGCTTGTCATAAAAGGCGACTAACGAGATCGGGCGGTCTGGCTCGCTGACGTGGTTGACACAACGTATCACCATTACCCTTGCTTGTCATAAAAGGCGACTAACGGGATCGAGTGGTCTGTCTCGCTGACGTGGTTGACACAACGTATCACCATTACCCTTGCTTGTCATTAGAGGCGACTAACGGGATCGGGTGGTCTGGCTCGCTGACGTGGTTGGCACATCGTATCCCAATTGCGTAGATCGATGCTCATGATGCTGGTCGCGGCGTTAAACAACAAACAAACAAAACCAACATTTATCAGCACCATACAAGTACACGTGGCTTTTGTAAAGGGTAATTGCCCACCTTTGCAATTGTTCCTGGGGCTGGAGAAATATATACTAGTTCCATTCCCCTGCCCGTTGTGGAATCAGTCATCTACATTACATTTTCCTGAAGGAGGAACTAAACTAGGTATAGTATTCCAACGGATGACTTTAGCAGGGGAAACGAATAATCTGTTACACTTTCACCACGACCTCCTACGCGATTATATAACGCGAAGATATAACTAAAATAGTATTAGGAGCGAGTCACCCACTCACTCTGCAACACAAGCCTTACTAGATTACAACACGTTATACATCACAAGAGATATTATGTTAGTAAATTAGTCCACCTCCACGGTTACTGCGTGTATCAGTAAATTACAAAACTGTCCATATAACATTTGTAACACAATTTACATATTACCGTACTTCCCGACACCTACATAAGATATTCGACTCAGGTGCCGGGTTCGCAGTTTCGTTTGTTTCATTGTTGTTTAACGCCGCACTCAGCAATATTCCAGCTAAACGGAGGCGTCCAGTGATCAACAGCATGAACATCGATCCACACAATTTGGATACGATGACATGTGTCAACCCAGTCAGGCTAAGTTACAGACTGCTCTTGATTGTTTAATGATGACCAACCTAACGGTAATAACTAGGAATTTATAGTTTGTTTAAAATTGCTTTATGTGCTGAGAAGTATCTAAGATGTATTTTTGTGAGATCTCAGCGAAGTACTTTTTGTAAATTCTCTTGAACTTAAAAGATTTTCACGTTTAGTCCCCGATCTATGCAGGTTATGTAAATCATCATGTAGTACATATATAAAATATGTTTTTCTTTTCTTCCTCGGCTTCTTCTTCTCTGGCATCATTGAAATTCATGGCATCACAATGAACTGCAAAGCAATGCAAACAAGTTGTTTTGTCATATACTACTCCTCGTGATACACAATGCATGTAAATAAAATTAGAAAAATGCTTTGAGGAAGTGACAGGGTATACCTGTAACCAAACGTATGGACAATTTTTTTAAATACATTGTCACTGAGCTATTCGAAACAATATTTTGAATGTTAATAAATTTGTTCAGGCCACATTACACCTTACCTTTGTTTTACACCGAACTCAGCAATATTCCAGCTATATGGCGGTGGTTAATAAATAATCGAGTGTGGACCAGACAATCCAGTGATCAACATCACGGGCATCGATCAACGCAATTGGGATACAATGACATGTCAACCAAGTCAGCCAGCCTGACTACCCGATCCCGTTAGTAACCTCGACCAAATTTAAACCGGGTGCTTCACGGTTACTATGACAACACCTAGCTAGTAACAGCATACTTCACTGTAAAAAAATACACCATAAAAGTTCGTGGCCCACAGGTCCAGATGTGCAGATCTGACAGTCTATCAGTAAATATAATGTTACATCAACGACCCATATCTACTACTCCATCTTTTGGTGTCCAGTTTTGGGCTATCGATACTTTTATGAGTCAGATGTTATCCTCCGGGCAAAGCCGTGTTTATCTAGCCTTACAGGTCATGACCCGGAGGTCCAGAACTAAATAGATGACCACCATAGTGTCACCGACCGGTGAGATCACTGTTAAGGTCAAGGTTAAGGTTAAAGGACCACAGGGCGAGTAAGGTCATGTTGACCTCACGACAAGTGTTTGATTGAAGAATTCAGAGTTGGCGGACGGTATCTTTACATTTACAGTTTGATCTTCAAACATCCATTTAGTGAAGCTTGCGATTATAAAAAAACCACAGTGTCTGTAAACATAATACAATGTATCTATTTCTTGCGATAGTTAACTTTATTCAGTATAAATTTTGATATGTCAACTGATAATCTCTCTTTTTCACTTTGTAGTGTATGTACCTAATTTACCTTAATTATCTTCAGTATACCTTAACGTTTCACGTTTTCACACTTTACATTATGTAATTCAAGGTTCCTTGTAATTCAAGGGTGAATGGACTTGTCACCAAAATGTGTGACTTTTCCGGCTTGTGATAAGGATATCTAAGGTAGGCTGGTTGGTTTGTTGTTTAACGCCGCACTCAGCAATATTCCAGCTATACGGCGGCTGTCTGTAAATAATCAAGTCTGGACCAGACAGTCCAGTGATCAACAGCATGAGCATCGATCTACGCAACTGGGATACGATGACATGTGTCAACCAAGTCAGCGAGCCTGACCACCCTGTCCCGTCCTTCGCCTGTTACCGCAATCATGGGTTACTGAAGATCAATTCTAACCCGGATCTTGACTGGTCCACAAACTTTTTAAATCACATTTAAATGAGAAGTGATAATGATGATTTGGTATCTCTATTTGACAGGGTGGTGGGTAGCCTAGTGGTTAAAGCGTTCGCTTGTCACGCCGAAGACCCGGGTTCGATTCCCCACAGGGGTACAATATGTGAAGCCCATTTCTGGTGTCCCCCGCCGTGATATTGCTGGAATATTGCTAAAAAGCGGCGTAAAACCAAACTCACTCACTCTGTTTGACAATGGTAGAAAGATACCATGTTTATTTGTTTGTGCCCTTCACGTGGATAGCTTGACACTAGAGTTTCACACTAATGTAACGCACAGTCGGAAAAGAATTGTTAGAGACTGAGCTTTGGACGTAAATAGTCCAAGAAGTTGTTAGGTTCTATAGTTGAATTTTTTAAAATGTCCTTGAAAGGATATGATGATCTCTTTACACAGCGTCAGCAAGCAACGCGTCACACATCTTTGAAGCTGTGCAACCAAGTTTAAGATAAACTGCAGCACTGAGTAGCCACGAGTGTTTTCACGTGTGACAAGCAGTGGTGTAGGTGATATTAGCATCACGGTCGGCTACACCCACCCGTTCATTGCTGGGTAGAAACAGACAGACTGATACAGCAGAATGGCAGACTCCCATGAACTTCACACACACGCCCACGACGCTGTCCCCGAGGGTAGCAGGATAGTTGCCGTCGCTGTAGATGGAAGCGACCATTCTAACCACGCCCTTGAATGTAAGTGTGCTGGTTTTGGTTGCCTATTTGAAAAATCGCTATCCTATATTGCAAAGATGTCGGGTCCAGCAGCTGTGTTGAATGTGGTTGGGGTACCAACGAAAGCGTGGGTGGGTGGAAGGGCTGGGGGGGACGGTTTTCTTTGAGGCTGCCCGTGAGTCAAGTTGTTGATTAGACTAACAACTAGTCTCTGAAATGAACATATTTTACTGAAAAAAGGTCATAGTAAAAAAATATAAAATATTATGAAAAGGAGCCCTGAGACCTTCTTCATTTTCCTGAAGCTGATGAAATCTAGACTTGCCACATTTTCTAGACTTGCATGGGCTTTCTTGGATATATTTGCTTCAGGGTCTGTACGAGAGACTAATTGTTGATGTATGTGGTGTGTTCGACGAAAAGAATCGTAATGTGTATTTCTTTGTTGTTTAACGCTGCACTCAGCAATATTTCACTTATATGAAGGCGGTTTGTAATTAATCGAATCTAGACCAGGCTATCAAGTGTACTCCTGTCCAATAGCAACGCTTCGGCCTAAGGGAAGCCGACTCATCATGCTTGTGTTATAGAGAGGACATAAGTATATACATGTACAACACAGACAAATAGACAGATCGATTGCAACCAGCAGCCCTGACCAACATGCTATCCTCCCTTACTACAAACATAACCCTTTATGCGTCACTGCCACAAGTGATTTGCATATCACGTGACCACTTTTCATGATATTCGTTTGAAATTTGAATGGGATGTATGAATGGATTGTATAGACGACCGATGGTGAACGCTTTCCACATTTGTCAGTGTTTTGTCTATTACCAATAATAGAACCAAGACCTTCGGCGAGACGATAAAACACTAGAACCACTAGACTAACTAACCGCTGTAAATACACAATGCCATTTAGAAAGTGGTCAGATGTAGCATACGTTATATATGGGATTTCACTTTCACAGTAAACTACAGATTCTAGTACTTTTGTTGTGTTGATTCCCATCTGGGATTCAAACCCATACCCTCAGAGTCAGACACCTAATCGTTAGCACACAGTCAGCCATGGGAACCACAGGCCCTCGTGTCTTTGCGAAGATTAAAGATTAAAACAAAAGTTCTTTTGAGATGACCCCCAACTCGAAATGCTACACAGTACAATACATCATGAGGGCTTGCCCTGACCACACCCCCGTTTTGTGCGGACACATCGTCATCCATTTGTGTCAAGATCGTTTAGTTGGGGGTTAAACTCGGGTTTCAATCTACTTGCAGAAATAACAATAAAGAATTGGTAGGTGTCATCCATGATTATGTTTACATTAAGTTTTAATCGATTGCATGCGATCGGCAAAGCATGCGGGTAGGGTACACCGAAGTGTCCGGCCTTGTCATAATGTATTGTAATGTGAAGCATTTCGAGTCGGGGATCATCTCAAATGTTTTATGTTTTTTTAACATCTTTAATCCTCGCAAAGACACGAGGGCCTGTGATGGGAACCGAACCAATTTACACTTATCAGAGGGGTACACAAAGTCCTTGGTCTAGACTACCAGTTGTCGCCTTCCATTTGTGTGGAAACCGCCGCGGTGGCTGAGAGAGAAAGTGTACCGTATTTCCTCCAATGCGCTGAGTCTCTAATAAGCGCCGGGGTAAAAGCAGCTCACTAACAATTACGGCAACAACACACAATAAGCGCAAAAGCGCCGGGCCTCTAATAGTGAGTGAGTGAGTTTGGTTTTACGCCGCTTTTAGCAATATTCCAGCAATATCACGGCGTGGGACACCAGAAATGGGCTTCACTTCGGGCCTCTAATAAGCGCCGGGACTAGAAGTCCGTTGAAAAAAATAGCCCCCGGGCGCTTATTAGAGGCAATACGGTAATTCCAAATATAACGTAATTAATGTTATACCCAACCACTGGACTGCCTATGATTCTATTGTTCTACAGCAGACATTCACTGCATACTGTATAAGCTACTTATCTTGCGGTCACCTGTCTGACGATAGTAATGGTGTTTCAACAATGGTGGCCACTAAAAGTATCAACTTTTCAAGTATTACTTCTCTGAGCCTTTCACAGTCGTTAAACTTTGTTGACAGTTTATTATGCCATAAACGACCCTGTGTGTTACGACATTTATACAACTCCCAAACACTCCGGGATGAAAATATGTGAAGGTCAAAGCCCGGATTTGGAAGGAGATAAAAGTCAGCCTATACGAAGACGTCAGTAGGTATAGAAACGGTACTGAGAGCCCGGAATGTGGTCAAATACCAAAGGCCACATGATCTTTGCTTACGTGGAGGACGTTCCTCACACCTCCAGATGCCAGAGAATAATTTAGGAAGGGGCCCTTGGCTCAAGGATTTTCCTGGGCTCATTTTGGATTTGTCTATATTATTAAATCAGCTTTCTGGGACGAAATGTCCGCCCATCTGATTTACTCTGTACGTCCCTTCATCCTCGATATCTCCAGGGTATACGTTCCGATAAATCTCCACTATACCCTGGACGCATCTACGGCTCGGCCCGATAATTTTATTACCTCCCTTTGCTGGCTCCGCATTCTCACAGTAGCCAAACAGCTTATATTAGCCGCCGTTACAACCGAGCATGCCAGTGTCAACAAAGATAGCGGTTCTCAGATTTGGGAAATCATACAGACCAATTGACAGGTCTGAAACCTTAAAAAATATGCAAGAACTCTTTCTATCTCTTTCAGAGTACCTCTGTATGATTTGTGTTGCCAAGTTTAATCGTTTAGATAATTTAAGAAGCGAAAGTGAGTTGTGATTGGTACGCTCAACATCCCAGCGTAGACACCTGATTGGATAAAAAGCGAGCCAAGAGAGGGAATAAATTCATCGGGCCGAGCTGTAGATGCGTCCAGGGTATAGTGGAGATATATCGGAACGACTACCCTGAAGATATCGAGGATGTACGTCCTTCTGACACAACCAAATGCATCTGATGGGGAAAAGAGTGAATTTATCGCAAAACGTGGGGTTTGCCATAATTAGATACACACACGCGGCACATAATGCAGACAGTGTGCGAAATAGTTTCCCAATTTTGCTAGCCAGTCGGACTAGCTATGCTTGAAAGTGACAAGCCCGCAAAATAATTCACTAGTCCGAAATTTGAATGTAGAAATGGGTTTCATCATTAAGCTGCTAATATGATGAACATTTTTATCAGGCCATAATCTTGCATGATTTCAAAGTGTATTATAACTGAAGAAGTCGAAGAAAAAGAAGACCCCATAAAACTTCACTAGCCAGTCGGGTCAGTGACTGTGGAGATTTACTGGCCCAAATGGATTTTTACTTGCCACGAGCTAGCGGGCCAGTTGCTATTCCGCACACTGAATGCAGCTGATATTTGGCACATAAAATCAACTGACCCCATTTGGAAGTACCGAAAGAACACACAGAATGCTTTTCTTCTGTCCGAAGCGCGCACAGAGCTTGGAGCCACACGACCAGATTGCACTAACATTTAAGGGTACTCATCCAACTAGCCTTGCTGTACTGAGTGCTAAGCCCGTGCATGTATAGTAATTCTATCCTTTAAAGTGGCAAGTCTATAGATAAGGGGACAGTCCCCTGTCTGTTAATTATTTTTAGAAATTATCTTTTTCACTGTTAATTATTACATTAGAACCTCGTGCAAGTTTATCGTCCAGCTTGATGGAACGTTTACAGCAATAAGGGGAGACAACTGACAGACCGAGGAGTGGAAGACCGCGAGTGACCACGCCTCTTACGCGTTGGTCGACTCAGACAACGTTTTCGGGCCACCGGAAGTGTTGCTGATCGTCCGCGACCTGGTGCACCACCTGTGACGACATCTGGACAGGAATGCAATATCCGACTTTCACACTTGCGAAATCGATTCCAAATAGCTGCCGATACGACAAAGACGAGGACAACTGGGACAAGACAACGTCATGTCAGCGCCCAAACGGTGCGAAGACGCCTTGCTGCCTTCAACATCTGGTGTCGTCGCCCCTACCGTGGTCCAGCCTTATTGCATTGCCACAGATTTGCCAGACAGCGGTAGGCAGCTAATGGAGCCAATCCTACCAACAGGCCATGGCGAGATGTCATTTTCTCTGATGAATCCAGGTTTAACGTAGCCTTTGCAGATGGACGTCAACGGATATATTGACGTCGAGGACACAGACTTGCGCCACACTGTGTCCTTGAACATGATCGTTTTGGAGGTGGTGGTGTCATGATCTGGTTTGCTATCAATGCCACCTTCCGATCCCAGATGGTAGTGGTTAACGGCAATATGAATGCTCAACGTTATGTGGACAATATCCTACTCCTGTGAATTGAGGGCGGTGGGGTAGCCTAATGGTTAAAGCGTTGGCTCGTCACGCCGAAGACCCGGGTTCGAATCCCCACATGGGTACAATGTGTGAAGCCAAATTTCTGGTGTCCCCTCCGTTATGTTGCTGGAATATTGCTAAAAGCGGCGTAAAACCAAACTCAGTCAGTCAGTCAGTCCTGTGAATTGACACAGGCCCTTCAACGTCACTGGCAGACCACCCCACAGCTTTTCCTGAGAAATTTTTGTCTTTCAATGCCTCGGAGACTGCAAGCCTATCAAACTGCGTTTTTAATGGCTTTCAGTATATACTATCGGTATCTTCTCTATTGCAGTCTATATTGACAACATCTGGACACCCCGGGACTTCGTCGTCTTGGTAACTGTTCCAGAGCTGGACCATGCTGTTAAAAGCACCTGGAATGAAGGTAACTCCTGAGCTATTGATGCCACATCTGATACAGTGAGTGAATGAGTGAGTGAGTGAGTGAGTGAGTTTTTGTAATGCCGCTACAATATTACCTATTTAATGTTGTATATCATGGAATAGATATACTTCTATCAAGGTTGTATGGTATTTGACCAGTGCATATGTATCCAAGTAGATTGCTTCTCGTAGTTTAGGTTTGCCCTGTTCATCCACAGCGCTGTTCAAGTTCAACAGGGATAATCTCGCCACGATGATGGACGAGCAGACGCAGAGGGTGAACAAACGCCTGCACGCTGCCCGAGAGAAACTCCTCAGCAGCAAGGTGAGCGGCACGGAGTTGCCAGATCTCATTACCTTGCCATTTTCTTTCCTGGTCTAAACAGGTCCAAGCCTCGTTATTCCCCAGATTATGTATACTACTAGGTCATAACAGATCCAGACCTCATGCTTGTCTCCCTCCACTGACTCCTGGTAATAACAGATCCAGACCTCATGCTTGCTTCCCTCCACTGACTCCTGGTAATAACAGATCCAGACCTCATGCTTGTCTCCCTCCACTGACTCCTGGTAATAACAGATCCAGCCCTCATACCTGTCTCCCTCAACTGACTCCTCGTAATAACAGATACATCACTAAACATTGTCTCCCTCCACTGACTGCTGGTAATAACAGATCCAGCCCTCATGCTTGTTTCCCTCAACTGACTCCTGGTAATAACAGATCCAGACCTCATGCTTGTCTCCCTCAACTGACTTCTGGTAATAACAGATCCAGCCCTCATGCTTGTCTCCCTCCACTGACTCCTGGTAATAACAGATCCATCACTAAAGCTTGTCTCCTTCCACTGACTCCTCGTTATAACAGATCCAGACCTCATGCTTGTCTCCCTCAACTGACTCCTGGAAATAACAGATCCAGCCCTCATACCTGTCTCCCTCCACTGACTCCTGGTAATAACAGATCCAGACCTCATGCTTGTTTCCCTTTTTTTGATGCTTGGTCATAACAAATCCTGACCTCATGCTTGTTTCCCTTTTCATTGATTTCTGCTCATAACAGACCCTGACCTCATGCTTGTTTTCCGTTGGGGCTTCCTGGTCATAACAGATCCAAACCTCATGCTTGTTTTCCTTTGGGGATTCCTGGTTATAACAGATCCAAACCTCATGCTTGTTTATCTTTGGGGATTCCTGGTCATAACAGATCCAAACCTCATGCTTGTTTTCCTTTGGGGATTCCTGGTTATAACAGATCCAGACCTCATGCTTGTTTATCTTTGGGGCTCCCCGGTTATAACAGATCCAAACCTCATGCTTGTTTCCCTTTTTGATTCTTGGTCATAACAGATCCAAACCTCATGCTTGTTTCCCTTTAGGGATTACTGGTCATAACAGGTCCAAACCTCATGCTTGTTTCCCTTTTTTTATTCTTGGTCATAACATATCCAGACCTCATGCTTGTTTCCCTTATTGATTCCTGGTCATAACAGATCCAGACCTCATGCTTGTTTCCCTTTGGGGTTTCCTGATCATAACAGATCCAGAACTTATGCTTGTTTCCCTTATTGATTCCTGGTCATAACAGATCCAGACCTCATGCTTGTTTCACTTTAACAGATCCAGAACTTATGGTTTCCTGATCATAACAGATCCAGACCTCACTTGTTTCATGCTTGATTACCTTATGCTTGTTTCCCTTATTGATTCCTGCTCATAACAGATCCAGACCTCATGCTTGTTTCCCTTTTGGGATTCCTGCTCATAACAGATCCAGACCTTATGCTTGTCTCGATTTGTTGATTCCTGGTCATAACAGATGACCTCATGATTGTTTCCCTTTGGTAATGTCTGGTCTTGACAGATCCAGACTCCATACTTGTCTCCCCTTGTTGACACCTCTCACTACCCACATACCCACACATGTATTCAAGGGTTTAAGGTCTGTCTCCTCCACCAGGTGAAGGGGAAGGTCCGAGCCATATTCTCCGGCAACGTTGGCCACGCCATCTGTCATGCTGCGGAAGAGGAGAAAGCTGTCTTCATCATCATGGGCAACCGCGGCCACAGCATCTTCCGCAGGACGGTGACCGGAAGTACCAGCAACTACGTCATCAACCACTCCAAGATCCCCGTCATGGTCTGCAGGAAGATGCACTGAGGCTGCGGTCACCGGCGTAGTCATCATCCCCAGATTTCCTCATATTGTACTCATACATATAAGTAACACATACCCGTAAAACACTAATCATGTACAGTCAGGTCGCTTATGTCACAAAGAACCATTAATACAGTTAATTCCACTCCAGGGTATACAAGCTTATGAACTTTAATCCTTTCTTCAGATCACTCTATCTTTTAGCGCCTAGAGAAATTGCCTTGCAGTTTGATTTGTGCGCTATACAAGAACACTTATTATTATTATTATTATACGTTTCGATAAATCTCCACTATACCCTGAACGCATCTACAGCTCGGCCCGATGAATTTATTACCGCTCATGGCTCGCTTTTTATCCAATCAGGTGTCTAAACTGGGAAGTTGAGCGTACCAATCACAACTCACTTTCGCTTCTTAAATTATGTAAACGATTAAACTTTGCAACACAAATCATACAAAGGTACTCTGAAAGAGATAGAAAGAGTTCTTGCATATATTTTTTTAAGGTTTCAAACCTGTCAATTTGTATGTATGATTTCCCAAAATCTGAGTCGCACTGCGAACAAACCTTCGCAGCTGCGACCGCTATCTTTGTTGACACTGGCAGGCTCAATTGTAACGGCGGCTAATATAAGCTGTTTGGCTACTGTGAGAATTCGGAGCCTGCAAAGGGAGGTAATAAAATTATCAGGCCGAGCCGTAGATGCGTCCAGGGTATAGTGGAGATTTATCGGAACTTATATCCTGGAGATATCGAGGATGAAGGACGTACAGAGTAAATCAGATGGGCGGACATTTCGTCCCAGAAGCTGATATAAAAATATATACAAATCTAAAAAGGAGCCCAGGAGCCAAGGGCCCCTTCATAAATTATTCTCTGGGATCTGGAGGTGTGACGAACTTCCTCCACGTAAGCAAAGATCATGTGGCCTGTGATATTTGACCAATAATAGCTATTTAAAACTATGATCGTTTGTTAAACAACTTTTATCCTAAGTTGAATAAAATGTTTTCACTGCAAACAGACCATAAAAGCGGCGTAAAACCATACTCACTACATCTGGTGTCAGGGTAAAGTAAGCGTGAAGTGGGTTTTCATTTTCAACAAGAACGAATAAACTTGTTTCAAACAACCAATGACGTAATGTATATCGTTAATGAATTTTAGTCCCATATTGGCATTATCTTTCATACACACATGCTATATACATTTACTCTTAACACAATTATATTTGTATTGTTGTATCTTGGAGACAATAAATGGTACCAATTGTTCTGTTTTGTATTTGGATTTGTATAATAGTCACTCACTACATGTCACAGTTGAGATGATGTTGATCACTGGATTGTGTGGTCGAGACTCGATTATTCACTGGAAAATTGCTGAGTATCACGTTAAACAACAAACAAACGAACGAACGAACGAACGAACGAACGAACGAACGAACGAACGAACAAATAGACCAAACAAACTACTGACTGATAGAGAGTACAATAACCCTCTGCGATCACAAGTGGAATGGCCTGGATCACAATTTATTTGGATCTTGAGGTATTTCGGTTCAGACCCCCAAAATACTTGAATATTCCACCTAGTCTCTGGGTTGAAATATTTGAATATAACATTTAATTTATTTTTATTGAATTGTCTCTTCATATGTAATGAAATAACCTGAGAACACTCATATTCAAGCTAAAATGACTGATATTGACTTAACAAACCATTATTCACAGCTTAAAGACATTTGCACGACTTGTGCTCAGAATTGGAGACGTGAGTCATGCATAGTCATCATCATCATCATCATCATCACCATCGGCGTACGTGACCTTTGTAATGGGCATTTTTGGTTGTTTTTTCAGATATATATTGGACACGCCATGTATTTTGAATACATGACACTTTTTACGGATAACAACTTTTTATTATTCTTTCAAGCTAATTCTTGCTCCTTCGTCGGGTGAATTCTGAGTCAGTGCACAGAGTGAATATATATAGATAAGACATGTTTACACAACGCAAGGTGGGAAAATGTACAAAGATAACAACATAATTGCGTAAAAACGTGTCATGTATTCATGTTCGCCATGTATTTTGTAAATTTTAGTCCAACCTCCTTTTAAACCCTAAATGTCGGTGTAAAACACTAAAAATACAACAATCAAAGCATGGACGAGTGTTTTGGCATGTTTATGGTCAGTGGTGCGACACTTTCACGTGCACTTGACGAAATAGGTCATCAATACTTCGGTGTTTATGACGTCACGATCAGCTATATGTTTCTTATAATGCCATGTTGATTTATTGACGCTGGTCGGCACATCGTCACGTTTTCTACCTCTTGTCCTTGACTGTCCTCTCAGGAACCCTTGGCCTCGCCAGGTATAAGGAAGTTGACCTTTGCAATTGAGAAAACATTTTCTGTCATTGCAGGATGGCATCTCGGAATTAATGACTGTGTTGGAACTTGGAATTGTACATATAATTATGACTATGTACATATGCGTCCATATTAATACAGCAATAACAAACATAATATATACATAAATAAAAATGGAATAACTCGTAGTACACATATTTTATTACCTGGTCGTGTACCAGCATATATCGGGTGTGAGTCATGTACAGTTGTATTCATATGGATTTGGTGTATTAGATATTAGAACAAATGTATTTGATACCCTAACACTTGGATTTATGGAAAAGCGTTATGATAATTTGTTATATATAGATAATTACAAAGAACCATTAATTATTTGAACTGGTCGGTATACATTACGTTAGAATGGACCGGGGTGTTAAAATTCAAATACCAGGCATGTCCTTTTTATGGAAAAACGTAAGTGCATGCGAAGTTTTTAATAGCCTTGATCAGATGTGCAGGCAGGTTAACACAGATAGTATGTTTTCTTATGGATTAAGGTTTACGTAAAATATCGCAAATTTTCGAAAAGTTAAATAAGGTTAGTTTTATCATAAACTGTATAACATTTTAAAACTGTAAAACAGTTATTATTGTTAACGATCTCTGCAGACAATTATTGTGATGTCATGAGTATTGGTATCACAGTAGCATATTACGTCACAGTAACTGCTACTAAAGGTCACGTTGATATTACACTTCCCGACTTTTATTCACATTCGTCAAAGCAGAAATTCAAATGTGCATCTTCAATTGTATGCTTTCATGCATGTATTAAATTGATTTTACGAAACTCGCATCTGAATTTACTACATAAATATTAATCAAACTTCCCGATACTCTTCTCATTCAAGTCGAATCATTTGCAATATTAGAAAGACATACGTGCGTGCGTGCCTATCGTCATTTTAGTTTTTTTTCTGGTTAAATATAAATTATCCAACAGCTGGGCGTTTTTCTGAAGTAAATACGATAAACTACACCAGCACACGTTTAATATTACACGTATATCATACCTATTTAGAATATTATAGCCATGTATTGTCCGTGTCAGGTTATAACTGAATTCAATATACGTCATACGTTACGCTTGTCACGTTCACGACAGATGAAAATAATGACTTCTCCCGGGCACAAAGGTCAAGGTAACACATGTAGGAGGCTTGTTGTGTGTGAAGTTTGTTATTGTGTAGAAGCTCCTAGTCAGTCACGATGGCAGGTTCAGAGAATCAGAGGAATGTCATTGTAGCAATTGACGGCAGCGATTCCGCAGACTTTGCACTTGATTGTGAGTATTGAAACGCGATGTGATTCTAATGTCAACAGCATGTTGGCGTGTTACATTGTAAACAATGCACAGGGAGGACTCCAGTTTGAAATTAATGACAGTTCTCATTGCACTATCAACAAAATAATGGACTCTGATTTTTTAAAGATTTCTAAAGAGCTTTTACTTCTGTTTGCAAATCTGCATATTGATACCCAATATTAACTCATGCATTTTAGCTGCTCCATGCAGTCTGATGTAGGCTGTTTCAATTGATTTTCATAAATATTACCAATGAGTGTGATTAATTCAATGACATATTTTTACTTGTACCCAGAAACGTTTTGTCTATTTTGGATGGATATTTTGTTAGATTTTAGAAATTACATCATTGTGTCTCAGAACTTTGATGTTATTTCTTACCAGATAAAAAATGGTTGAAAGAGTCATACATTTTGCATCCCCCACAAACTCTCTATGTAAATTAGTAGGCAGTATTTGTGAATGCATTGAGTGCATGCTATTTTGTTTGCATATTGCAAGAACATCATGTGCACAATATGCAATAATTTCCAACTGATGAAACTGATCAGCAGACCCTAAAAGCTGCATACGGAAAGTGGATGAGCATGTCGTCCATCCAATATTTGCACTGTGATGCCCTAAAGTGGGCATGTTTGTAGTGAAGTCAACGACAGATAATGTTTCACAACAGCTGGGTCGCCTACAGTTAAAGATCTGCTTCAATACCGTCTGTTTATAATCACTGAGTAAGAACTATATAAACCAAAAAATACCCAAATGGAAAAACATCATGTTCTTGAGTAAGGGGTGTGGCAGTCATTGTAAGTCCACTCTGACCTAAGGACTGACATATAAACTCATCTGCCATCATTCTCTGTGTTGATATACAGGTATTTTCTACATCAGCATTTGGCATCATGTCCTCAAACCTACTAGTATATGCAGAAACCTATATGAATACTTCAATAGCAGGCTTGCCATGAATAGCTGCCAGATTGCTGACGCAGCTTTTAGCACTGTTACGCAATGATCACTCCCTCCTTAACAGATCATATCAGTTACATGGATGCATGCATGATGACTGTCTCACAGTCCATAACTACATTATTTTCCCTATTGCCAAGCCCTTTCTCCAGTGTTAAAGCCTTAAATAAAGCAAGTCTAGATTTCCTCATGTACTGAATCTCACATCTCACTGGGGCTCCTTTTCAACTTTAAAGGAATTTATATTTGCTTCTTTCAAAATTAAATATATTCAGAGACTAAGTGTCAGTCTAGTGATGTAAGTATGCTGATAGCATGTAGATGGAGACATTGGTGGTGACCAGGTTTGAGAGCGTTGTCCATGATTGTGCTTGATCATGCAATCACGTCATGCAGTCACACCATGCAGTAATATCGTGCAATCATGTCATATCACAGTGATGTATAGTCGAGATATCTTCAACCAGTGACCTCCATGCGGTTCATGGACATGTAAGCCTTGATAATGAAGAAGATAATGACAGTTGTGTTATAAAAAAACACATCTTGTAAAATCCATGTTGCTGTTATTACTTGTTTGTTGATAATAGAAAACCGCTTTTGACCATGTCAATATATTTTTAGTAAATAATTTTAAGCATTGATGTCCGTTAATATTTAAAATGTTTAACTTCTCTAAAATTGTTGAATGGATTCAGCTGAAATGTTGTGTAAATGTTTAACTCTGTGTGGGAGTTCAAGTTTGTTGAAAGCAATAAAATTTAGAATTTGACTATGGCTGTGAGGTAGTCATCTTGGGTATGACAAAAACTTCAGAAGTCTTTTGTGAAGCGTAAGAATTGAGATATCGGAAACTTGGTTGAGATTATCATTATGTTTAGTTCCAAGTTAGATCTTGTTTTAAAAATCATTACTCCTTTGAAATTGCCAGACTGAGGACTGTGAACATTGTCATACTTCTTTGATTGGCATTCTGGAAGTTGAGGAGATGAAGAATGAGGAAAATTTTCGTGGATACACAACTTCTTTATTGTGTATAGGCGATGTTGAAGTTGTTTATCTATAAAAATTGTCCTCATTCTTCGTTTTCATACTTGATTCACCTTAGGATGAGATAATTATTTGTTTATCTTTATGTCCATCATTATCAAGGCTTTTTGTGTGTGTTTGTGAAAAATTGTAAAAAATGTATGGCATTAGAAAGAGAGAATCTCCTCAGAAGACAGTTATGGCTTGGAGTTGAAACTTTGTGTATCATATAAAAAGTTATGTGTTTTGCAACAATGTAACAGTGTTAGCTATTGTAAGCCTTGACCCTGTCTTATTCAGTTCTGTTATTCCTACCTAGTGTCAGTTCAAGAAAGACATTTTGTTATAATTTTAGTTATGTTCTAGTTTATGACCCTATGATGCTATTTTTATACATTTTATTTCTATAAAAAGCACATAGGTCTATATATATCTCAGTAAAACACATCAAAAGTCAAAAGTGTCACCCAGCAAGGCCAAGGTTGTCTTGGTGATGGGGACAGGGTTGTCAACATTGTATTTTCGTCTTCAAGGTGTAGAAAAAGTCTGGGAATAAATCTGATTCTGTTGAATATGTTAACCTAAGTTGTGACAGGTGAATTGTTACGAAGCATGAGGTGAATACTGTGTCAAGATGATAATTTGGTTAGATTATATATATCTACAATATATATATCTTTGTGTTGGTTTGAGTAATACAGCTGGAAGGTGTTTCATGGGATAATTGTGTGGCGAGACTATTTTGTTTAGAAATTTTCATGAATCTGGGTAGAACGAATGTAGGAAAAAAAGTAACAGGAAAAAACGAAACAGGAAAAAAAGTAATGGAAAAAAAGTAACAGGAAAAAAAGTAACAATTTTTTTATAAATACTCATATAATCACTTAATTAGGATTAGGATAAGCTTCGATAACCTAATTTAAGTTGTTAGTTTCGCTTTAGCAACTGCAGATGGACTAACTCCTCAAGTGATGAGGGGTATATGTGCATGATATTTGTGATAAGCAGCAAGCTAACAGTAACCACAACAGGGAACAGATAACAGTTAGCACATAGATATCTGGATGAAACTGGATGCACAGTAAGGGGAACAGATAACAGACATGTAATAACACACACAGGTATTGAAGCCAGGGTCAGTTAGGATAAGGAATATAGATTATACAGTTGTGACAAGCTGATTACAAATTTAAAAAGTCAATTGCCGGATTAGATGTTCATGAGCAGAAGGAATGAGATTTGTGACAGTGGGTTCCTATGCTTCTGAGAGTTTCTTTTAGTGGAGTTGAGATGTTTGGTTCAGTGAATTTGAAGTTTGTCAAACTGAAAATATTTTTTGCTGGTGGCCTTAAGGGCTGGATACAATTGCTGCCTGCTTGGGTCTTTTGAAATTTAATGTTATTAGATGTGGATTTCCCTTGGGCAGGAAGTGCCATTAATGTAAGAATCACCATTAATTGTTGTTGATGGGGAGTGTGGTGGTGGTGGGTGGCCATTTACTTGGAGGATGGTATGACGGAGTGGTGAGTCAGTGAAGAAGGTATTGGTTCCCTCTTGGTCCTTTAAGGTAGGGTGATAGGGGTCGGTTCTGGTCTGATCAGTAAGGGTATGGGCTGAAGTGTGGCGGAGATGGTCCTCCTGACTGGCTTAGTAGGAATCTGGCTGACATTCGTGAAGGCATGCGGCAGATGTTTAAGGTCAAGGTCAAGGTCAAGGTCAATATGCTGGATCAGATGCTCTTGGCTCTCCTAGTGTGGAGATGATGTGTGGTAAAAAGATGGATCAGAAATATTGTCGATTGGAAGAATTATTAATGATTATCAATATGAAATGATGTGGATCACCTAGGCAATAAAACTAGTCTGTTTTCAATGTAGAGGTTTCAATCATAGATTTGATACCTGGAAAAATTATTTGAAATTGTTTGTTGTTGTCATGCCATCAAGTCTGTGTCATAGCAGTCATCACAGTGTTGTTAGTGTGTTGACAGTGTTGTATAGATGCACGCTTGTTACAGGGTACTGCAAGAATGTCCACCTGAAGCATGACCACGTGGTGTTGGTGCACTGTCCGGAGCTCAACGGGATGCTGCACTCTCAACGCTGGAACAACTGTGAGTACCCTAAGAAGTTGTCAGTTTGTTATGGTATGTTTCAGTAAGACATGCCTAGTTAATATTTCACTTATGAATATCAAGGCGATCTTTCAATCAGGCAAGACTGTGTGACTTCTCAGTGAATCATGTCTAGGTGATGCTTCAGTGAATCATGTCTAGGTGATATTTCAGTGAATCATGTCTAGGTGATTTTTCAGTGAATCATGTCTAGGAGATGTTTCAGTGAATCATGTCTAGGAGATGTTTCAGTGAATCATGTCTAGGTGATGTTTCAGTGAGTCATGTCTAGGAGATGTTTCAGTGAATCATGTCTAGGTGATGTTTCAGTGAGTCATGTTTAGGACATGTTTCAGTGAATCATGTCTAGGTGATGTTTCAGTGATTCATGTCTAGGAGATGTTTCAGTGAATCATGTCTAGGTGATGTTTCAGTGAATCATGTCTAGGTGATGTTTCAGTGAGTCATGTCTAGGAGATGTTTCAGTAAATCATGTCTAGGTGATGTTTAAGTGAGTCATGTCTAGATGTTTCTGTGAATCATGACTAGGTGATGTTTCAGTGAGTCATGTCTAGGAGATGTTTCAGTGAATCATGTCCAGGTGATGTTTCAGTGAATCATGTCTAAGTGATGTTTGAGTGAATCATGTCTAGGTGATGTTTCAGTGATTCATGTTTAGGACATATTTCAGTGAATCATGTCTAGGTGATGTTTCAGTGAATCATGTCTAGGTGATGTTTCAGTGAATCATGTCTAGGCGAAGTTTCACTGAATCATTTCTAGGTGAGGTTTCAGTGAATCCTGATAAGCTCAAGTTTCAGTGAATAATGTCTAGGCGATAAAGAAAGAAGTAGTAGTAGTAGTATTTCAGAAGTGATATCTCAGTGTACATGTTGGTGTTGTTTCACTGAATCATGTTTAGTGGAAGTGATGGAAGTATGTTGAAAGATGAGCAGCAAAAATCCAAAAAGATCTTGAAAAGTTTGTAGTAAAGTTGAAGCATCATTGGTTGGTTCAGTTGGTGTAATATGCAGTTTTACTTTGTTTGACAGGGAAGTGATGGAGGCCATGTTGAAAGATGAGCAGCAAAAATCCAAAAAGATCTTGAAAAGTTTGCAGTAAAGCTCAAGCATCATGGGGTTGGTAGATAACTGTAATATGCAGTTTTACTTTTAGCTTTGACGATCGAAACATCACAGTAGGTTAGCACAGTAACATCATGGGTTGTCAATGGAACTGTAGATACCAATGACTATCTTTTCTTTGCCCAGTAATTAATGTTATCACTGATGATGCTCATGATATCGATCCCTTGATTGTCACATCCGTGAAGTCCCTCTGTCCGTCTGTCTGCCTGAAGACATTTTTGTTCAACCAATAACTTGAAAACTATTGGTTGGATTGTTGATTGACTTGAATTACAGCAATTACAAAAATCAACTTATAATATTTTTTTTATCTTTTGGTGTTGTTTGGCTTCCTCAGATTGGCGGGAAGGTGAAGAGTGTCATGGCTTCCAAACCTGGGGAGGGGATTATCAAAGCCTGTGAAGACGAACATGGCGAGATGATCATCATCGGGTCACGTGGTCTGGGCACGCTCAGACGTACCTTCATTGGCAGCGTCAGCGACTACGTGGTTCACCACTCCCACGTTCCTGTGTTTGTCTGTCGGAACAAGGAACTCCATCATCACCACCACCACCACCACAACCACCATCAGGGTGAACAACAGAAGTGTGCCTAGATGTTCCAGGAACGCGGAGTAGTTGATACTCTGCATCTAGGGAACATGTACCAAAGAGGCACTGTGGCATTCTTTTGCATTGAAAATTCTTGGACAAAAACTTGCAAGAACTTTAATAAAGAAATATCAGAGGTTTTGTTGTTCTGTAAAATGTAATGGAAAGATGTTGACATATTCTGTTTGTGTTTTTAACTGTTGTATGTGCAGATTTTTTATTTGAATACGCTGGTTGTATCTTGGCAGAATAAGAAACTAGTTATCCACTTTTTTATGGTATTTGGAATCAATGGACAAAGTACAAAGTCTTGCCTATTTATTGGAATAACAGTATAAACAGGTGCTATCTATCAAAGTAGAAATAGAACACTATGAATCAGTAGATTTTCATCAGCATTATTAATATTTAGCAGTGATCATTCTTGAATTTTTTCTAGACATGTTCTATGAAAATGAAATTTATGTACATGTTGAAATTTGTTAACCGTTTGTTTAAAAAAAGAACATGAATATAATTGTGATCTTTTTTTGTCATCTTTTGTCATCTTTTAAAAATGCTATATTTCATGTCACTGTAAAACTCAACATGCAAATGAATGTTAGATTAACACAATACTCATGACACCACCTGTTCTGTGATATGCAGAGACAAGCTGTTATCCATACCAGAAATGACCATCATTTATCATTTTCTTCAATAAATGTTTGTTTACAAAGGTCATTGATCGCTGTTATTGTGTATCCTATGGTAAAGTATGTGTCACGTGTCTACCAGTCACAATCTGACGATGACAGTATGTGACCCGACTGTGACAATATCATCATTGAATCAACCTCCATTTTGCTTTTTCCTGACTGTAAAATAAATAGTGTATCATACACAGGAGTATGATGGCTTGTACACCACGGTTTCATGTGTGGACAGTACTTTCCTTCACTCATCAGAGTCAGACTATGTAAACACCTTAAACGTTTCGTGGCTGAGGTAAATCCCTTGCTATGGATTAAATCATATTTGCAAAGCAATTCTGCATCAGCAGATAATGGCTTCATTTGATTTTGATTGGCTGAAAATAATAACCACTTGGAATGTTGCATGCAATATAATGGTGTTTTTTGACAGAAAAGAGTAGATTGACTGGCTCATTGTCATGTGCAGACAAATCATAGCATAGGAATGGAACTTTAGTCGAACTGTTAAAGATATAATACCCATGTTTGTGGTGATAGACCAAGGATAACACTATTAATTTAATTTTTAGGCCTCATGTCAGTTTTGATTTGGTTTTCATATTGTAGATGAAATTGGTAGGCAATATTTTGTATACCCATAGCAATAAAGTTATCTTTTATGATGACAGAGGAAAGGAAGTGCCACTGTAAGATGTTTAATTTATGACATTTATGAGGATCAAACCAGGTCAAGTTGTTTTTTATCAGCTCCCGATTCAAATCAGACATTGAGATGATTAAACAAGTCCTGTAGAACGCAAATTTATTGTTTTCTTGATCTACCAAACGTATTTAACATGGCAATATCCCTTAACCTTCAAAAGTCTAACTTCTCAAGTGATATTGAGATATTACTGTGAACATATCCTGAGTAATTTGGAATTAAGTTTTACACTTTGTGTCACCATTAGCAATATTGTGTGTTCGGCTGATTCAGTATTGGCGGTAGAGATATATTTTGGGCAGGACATGATGACCGTTTTTGCCAACACCTGTATCATCACTGAGTGTCAGTAATCCATTCATATCAGGCTTGCTGACTGGGTTCACACATGTCATTGTATCCCATTGCATAGATAGATGCTCATGCAGTTTTGGCAGGATTGTCTGGTCCAGACTTGATTATGGAATATTGCTGAGTGTGGCGTTAAACGACAAACAAACAAACATATCATGTTTACTACAATTGTGTCTTGTAAACCCATTGGAAGCACATGTGACACATGTGGTCTCACCTTAGGCAAGTGAGTTTGTTCAAAATTGTCTCTGTTCACCCAGCAGGAAATGGGTACCCGGTGGAAAAAGTCATATGACTATAACCTTCTAGCGCCTAACAGGCAGCTTGCGTTATCCGGGGTAATAATGTGTTGTGCCTTGATTGTTAGCGCTATGAGCATACCTAGTGTGGAGTTTGGCGCTATATAAATGGACACATTATTATTATTATTATTAATCAGTTTGTGTGTGCTTAGTCTCCTGTTGATGTTATATCAATGTTTGCTCAGAAACAATAACTGAAGAAATTATTTCAGCTCAGACCCAATAAATGATGAAAAATACTCTTGCCTAAGTTCTTGCTCAAAACAAATATAGAAACTTCAGGAGCATGTGGCTTTAGATCACATCGTGAATTTTATTGTATGGTGAGATTTGAGGAAGATGAAAAGCTTGATGTGGAATGTGAAAAATGTTTCCTAATGCTGTTGTTGTCTGGACAGTGGGAGTTGGGATGTTTCCTATGCCCAATAATGGGGGTATATAGTGGTCTCTGTCATCTTTGGATGTTTCCTATGCCCAATAATGGGGGTATATAGTGGTCTCTGTCATCTTTGGATGTTTCCTATGCCCAATAATGGGGGTATATAGTGGTCTCTGGGGTATATAGTGGTCTCTCATCTTTGGATGTTTCCTATGCCCAATAATGGGGGTATATAGTGGTCTCTGTCATCTTTGGATGTTTCCTATGCCCAATACTGGGGGTATATAGTGGTCTCTGTCATCTTTGGATGTTTCCTATGCCCAATAATGGGAGTATATAGTTGTCTCTGTCATCTTTTGTTCAGGCAAAACATCTTTCATAGCAAGAATTTGAAACCTTTGTCAACCTTGAACGAAATTAGTTTAAACGATAACAAACAGCTCCAAATGTTTGTAAAATCATGATAATATTACAGACTGTACCAGACAACAGAATCCAAAACTGTCTGAGGAAATCTATAGCAGAGCATACTTGGAAACCTTCTTGAGATATAACATTTGATCCTAGGAGGAATTACTCGTCATTATCCTTAGTCCATTAGGAGATTGATAACAAACAGTCATTAACGTATCATAATATAAATATTTGGAGTGGATGTTTTTTTGACAAATACAATTGTAATGGTTTTAGCACAATGAATGAATGTGTAGAAAGTGATAAGATATCAGTGCTTAGCCAGTCAAGTACCCGCTGTTGGAGATACTTTCTTGATTTTTGCTGAATATTTAGTGTTGTCTGTACAGCTATTGAAGGTATGCTTATAATGACTTCTTACCATTCCTGTATTGTTTTGTATCCAGAAGCATATTAATTGTGAACTATAGTCAGCATTATATCTGATACTTGGATAGACAACATGGAGTCAGTCCACTTGATAGTTATAGCAGTCAATTTGACATTGAAATAAAACTTTGTATTTTGAACCTATCTTGTTGTTCTACATTTAATGCAACATTGATTGAGTGTCAGGTATTTTCCAAAGTTTTTGTGACAAAATATAATAAGATAGATCTGTATCAAGATCACGCAGTACTGTCCATCAGTAGGCTCACTGTACTGTGTGATGACATCCACTTGTTACCTCCACCCCAAGAATATCAGATGAATGTTCCCTTCAGCTGCTTTTTACAAGGTAATACAGGGAACATGAAGCTTCTCCAGCTGCCAAAACAAGACAGGTTCCTCGGTAGAATAATGGTTCCTCCCTGAACAATACTGGTTCCTCCATGGAATAATGGTTCCTCCCTAAACAATATTGGTTCGTCCATGGAATAATGGTTCCTTCTTGAAGCAATACTGGTTCCTCCATGGAATAATGGTTCCTCTCAAAACAATATTGTTTCCTCCATGGAATAATGGTTCCTCCCGAAACAATATTGGTTTCTCCATGGAATAATGGTTCTTCCCTAAACAATATTGTTTCCTCCATGGAATAATGGTTCCTCCCTAAACAATATCAGTTCCTCCATGAAATAATGGTTCCTCCCAAAACAATATGGGTTCCCCTATGGAATAATGGTTTCTCACGGGAATTTCATGAACTCTTAGCATATGTTCTTGTAAGTCAGATAATGAAGAGTGAACATAGAGATTGAGCATAGTCATTGAAGGCTCTCTGATGGTATGCCCATCCTAACACTCATCGAGGATACCGAAAACAACGCCACATGCCTCAACAACAACACATATACGACAATATTCAATATTTATTTCAACAGACATAACTCTTATGATACAAAAGACCTCGTATTTCGAACTTGACAAATATACATTTAATTACACAAAGTGTTCATGACATATTCTACAATTGAACATTCCCAGGTCATATCCTTATCTACCAGCAGGGATAATCTACAGCACCTATTCTATTCCCCTGCTACCAGTCACGGCCGATGAGCTCGAGCTTTGCTGAACACACAGACGACATCCAACTCCAGTGTCGACAAGAAGGTAAACACATATTCACAGGAATCACATGTAAACATCAGATCATTCTTCATAGGGTTAAATAAAATCAAACATGTCATTGTAACCAATAATGTAGTTTCTGTGAAATTAGATTTTAATTCGACAGATAATTTCTTTGTTTTAATGGAATATTTAAGCAATAAGTTAAGTGTTTATATTTTACAACCCTGCCCTTAATACATTTAGATTCACGCTAAAACGATATATTATTCGAAGGAGTCTAATATACCCTTTCGTATGAAACACTGAAATTCGCGTTGCAGAGTTACCTCCCTTGGGTGCGTCAGTACCCGATGATCGTGGGTTCAAATCCCGATTCTCCCCGATTATTTTTATTGATTTGTCATACCTGTGCTCACGGATTTCAGCCAAGGTGATAATCCCCTCGAGTTGAAGAAGAATTACTACAGATATATGTAGCGAGTGAGTGAGGTTAGTTTTATGCCGCTTTTAGCAAGATTACAGCAATATCACGGCGGGGAACACCTGAAATTGGCTTCATAGATTGTAACAGACATTTGTGAATGGTTATAGAAGTTACAAGTACAGTTAACCGTGTATATTTATGTCCGCGGGGACATACTGAAACGTGTATAGACTCACTAGACAAACAGCTATGTTATTCATGTGAAGAAGTCGTTGTCATTTTGTAATATTTACAAGCGTGTAAAGGGACCCATTGAGTAACCCTTGAGTCACCGTATTTTATAAATCAGTTGGACCCCCGAGAACGACTGTGCGTCACATAACATTGTATTTTATGATGTTATCGTGAGTATTGTAACCGTAATGAGGGCAACATGCTATACCGTACTACAGAATATACGCAACATAATGGAGCATTAATTTCGCTGTTTTTCTTAATTCACAAAGTACCTAAGACAGATGACTAAATTGTGGATTGTTCGCTGTTTAATGCCGCACTCAACAATATTCCAGCTATGTGGCGACGGTCAGTTGATATAATTAAGCCTGGACCAGGTACAATGACGTGTGTCAACCAAGCGAGCAAGCCTGACCACCCGATCCCGTTAGTCGCCTCTTTCGGCAAGCATGGTTTACTGTAGATCAACTGTAACCCGGATTTTCACGGGTCAAATGACTAAATGAGGGGGTGAACATAGCTTAGTTATGTCACGGAGTGCCTGCTTAATGTGGAAGGAAAGCCCAACATGATCCAGATCTGCGACGTCAATCAACGAGCAGGATGTGGTGATGGTAAACTATTCGAAATAATGGAATCCGGGATCAAGCGAAAAGCGGATCCTGACACACACGAGGGATGCAACTCTGATCAGTGTTAATCCTTCGTGTTCATAAACAGAGAGAAATTATTGCAATGTTAACAGTGTGAATACACTGTGGTAAAATACAGCGGACGGTTCCTAACAATTTATTATATTATTATTATAGTATATTTATATAGCGCACATATCCACGCAACTGGCGCATGCTCAAGGCGCTGGTATCTTGACAATGACTACGATTTGTGATAATGGTAAAGGTATAGCCTTCATAAACACGTTTGACAGATCGTGGTCATGTTTCTTTAACAGATGGGATCACTTTTCCAGTTTCAGTATATGTGTACTTAATTGTCATGGATACTAAATCTTCATTAACGAAAATATTGCTTTCAAGGGTAATTCATCACTGAAATACGACCCACAGTACCAATGCTTTGTGCCATGGATATCCTTATAGCGTGAGAGACATGGAACAGATGCTATCAACGATACGTCATATATGGTGAATACAAGACATCATACACTGTTCACATTGTATGTGCCAGACACATCGATATGGCGAGCGTTACTGATTCATGGGTGGTAATATATACAAGAAGGGTATAACCTGAACCTCTTAATCCGGACGCATGTGCCGTAGAAATCAGATTTAACAAATTCGAAAACGAATCATAGGTACATATTAGTGTCACAATTGTGATTGATTTTTTGCGATATTCCATCTATACGACGGCGATATGTAAATAATCGAGTTTGGACCTGATAATCCAGTGATAGACACCTCAACGCCGATCTGCGTATTTGGGATACGATGACGTCATTTAAGTCAGAGAGTCTGATCACCTGATCCCGTTAGTCTGTACATGTGAGACGGAATTATCGTTTCTCGTCGGTCCGGATTAATGGGTGTCCAGTGTACATGGAACAGACAAGCAAGTGACACCAGAATGAAGCTGTTTCTGTCATAGTATGCCTGTCATACGATAGCATGTTTGTCATACGATAGTCAATGACATTTAGTATAGACGTAAGGCACAGTTGACGTTAGCTGTAAGCAATCAATACCAATAACAAATATTTAATATTAAGTAGGGGGAACATAAATCATATTTCATCATACATGAAACTAATATTTGACTGAATTCTAGCGACACATTGGAACAAACGTTAGGCAATTCCGTTTGGGGAATATCAGATTTCAGACACTAGTTATGGCGTATTGAAATAAAAATCACTTATGTTTGAGAGCGTTAATTTAACACACCAATATAAGAAATCAACGTTTCAATAGCTTTTGTTGGAAAAACTCCAAATGCACGTCTTTTTTATCCTGAAATCAAAAGTCCATAACCAAAAGTAAACCGCGAGGAACGAACTCCTCGCATACTTAGAATCCTTATAAATGTCCACCTTGTCCAGGATGTGCAGCTTGAACCATATTGTTTTAAAATACATGTACCTGATAACACTTGTGAGGATGTATTTACCAAGATGTATATGTGGGGGTATCAGAAGAAACCATAAAAGTAAACACCGCATTCGTAAACGCCTGAATAATTCTGTACACCACTTTCAGAAAATAATCCAATATTATCTCAATAGGGACACCAAAATAGGCTTCAGACATTGAAACCTTGTAGGAATCGAACCTGGACTGACGTGACGAGCCAAAGCCAACTTCTAGGATTGGACATAATAAATAAAGGATACAATTAGTCTCTTACATGATACATGCGTACGTGTACAACTAAATGGAAAAATGAAACAGATTCATTATGAATTAGCATACAAAAAATATAACGAATCTCTGTATAATGCATTACGTGTAGATACATAAAACAGTATTACCACAACAATGAAGTCAGGGTGAAACTAATTTACAATGTAGATATAAACGAGTATCTCATAACAGGAAATAAATGTAAATTTATCTTTAACATGAATGAAACTCACAGCAAACCCATGTATATACATAAGCATAATTATTAAGTCCTTAATTGTTACAACATATTCCAACGTCAAAAGTATAGCAAATATGTAATATGTAACAATATATTCAATGTTTAAACTATATAAACTAAATAACGTTTAACCATATATTCCAAAGCCTCAAGTTTATGAACTAAATGGGTAACAATATGTTTCTTAAGGAATATCAATTAAATAATGCGTAACAAAATGGTCTCAGTTTAAAGCATATCAATTACATAATTTGTGACGATATATTCATCTGCCTAAGAAAATCAACCAACTAATGTGCAACAATATATTTTACGTTTAAATATGCCAGTCCAAAAAAGTGTAACAATTTATTCCTACATTCAAAGGAAATCAACTAATTAATATACAATATTACTTCAGTCTTGTAGATATTGATTAGAAACCAATAATTAATGTAACAAGTCAACAACAAGCAATTGGTTACAACACAACTAGCAATCTTAATTTCCACGTGCAATTTCCACGAGTTCTTCAGTTGGTGATTAGGGACAGTGAAATCGTCCGGTTTAACAGGTTTCTGGACTAACGGGGTTTAACATGTCAAGAACCGTGCAGTACACGGACAGTTTGCATGCATTCTCTGTGTGAAATAATATGAACATGTTCGAACCATACATTCCATGCTTATAATCGAAGGGGGTTTAGTATTTTTCTCTGCATGATTGTAACCATGCGCATATAGGCTCGTGGTTGCTGAACATGGACAGATGAGAAAAAATCTGATAAGTTTATATTTCTTTTCTTTAACTCAGTTAAATTTTGAATTTTTCACATCTACAGTGTTGACTAAATGTTACTTTACGTAAAACGTGGAAACACAAATGTTTTGTGTCTTTATACAGGTGAGACCATTTGTGGATGCTTAAGACGATAAGAAGATGCAAGCTTATTAATAGTCGCAGTGACAATAGTGATTATAAAAAGGCAAAAGAGTGTCATAAACTAAAAAGATATGTAACCTCAAGGAAAGATAATACCCAGTCTCGGGTATCTGCTAAACCGATTCCACGGATCGTAAAAAGAAATGGAACCTGAGGATGCATTTGCTTTGAACTTTAAAACTCAGCATGTTTATGGAACTAAAAAACCCTTTAATACGTTCGGATTGCGGTGGTCTGTAAATAATCGAGTCTGGACCAGACAATCAAGTGATCAACATCATGAGCATCATCTACGTAATTGGGATACGATGACATGTGTGAACCAGGTCAGCGAGCCTGACCACCCGATCCCGTTAGTCGCCTCTTACGACAAGCTTTGGTTGCTGAAGACCGAACATGCTGCTGGGGATGTTTCCTAACCGGCCGTCCAAGGCGTGTGTGTTGGGAGGTGAGTGGGGTTGAGTGTTGTTGAGCGGAGGGGTGTTGAGCGGATGGGTGTTGAGCGGAGGGGTATAGCGTAACAATAAAGGATGACATGTACAAGCTGATGCAAGGAAGAATTGACAGTACATGACATTCTGACTGAATTATTTACACGTTTACTATGAGTTCAAGAGATGATATTGCTTCACACACATGTCTATTACAACGTCTATTGGTGATAGGACCGCCTCCGTGGTGTAGTGGTTAGAGCGTCTGCCCAGAGAGCGGAAGGTCGAGGGTTCGATCCCCATACCAAAAGACGTTAAAATATAGTACTTGTTGGTCCCTGCCTGGCGCTCGGCATTAATGGGTACAACAAGGACTGGTCGGCTCGGAGTCAGTATAATGGTGTCTGAGTGGGGTATTCATGCTTCACTGCGGCATGGTATCTCACTGAGCTAGCACTATAAAACCAGCTTAAGTCTGGGCTAGTACAAGCAGGCGCACATACACATACACACGTATGCACGTCGTCATATGAGCGAAATATTCTCAAGCACGACGTAAACCCAATGTCACCTCACCTCACCTATTGGTGATAATGTATTTACGAACAAATACAGCTTGTATCGGTGACGTGGAGAACAATGTTTGGTATCCTTTCAGACCAAGTGTGTTACTAATAAACATGAACGTACACTTAAACTCTGAAATCTATACACTACTTTAAAAAGTAGTCAGTAATCCTCTAATATATACTTTAATATATACTTTGTACTTACTTGGATTCGTTTTGTCCTGACACACTTACACTGTATTTCATTTGGAAATATTTTATGTACGCTTCAACATCTTCACAAGCGTCACACAATAAAATAAGTGGAATGACATTAAATACGGCGTAATAAATAAGATTCAATTTAAATATTGACGATCTACAAAATACCTGTATACTTTTGACAGATATGTTAATGACTGTGGATACAATAATATTTGCAGAAAATTCAGTAAATATGGACCTTTTGAGTTTACAGAGGCTGAGATTTGTATGTTTGTAACATGGACGGATCTACTACAACTTCTAAGGGTGAACTGAGTGTATGTTTCCTGAAGCAATCACAATCCCTACTCCTCGTGTCTGCACAGACCTCCTCGTCTTATGTCTCCGGCTGTCTCCGGACATTCTCGGGGAGAGGAGGCAGGTACTTCAGGGGCATCTGAAAGAAAACCCCCAGATATCATCATCATCATCATCATCATCATCATCAAGAAAGAGAAGGCATCAGGCCAAAGTACAGAACCCATGGTTTATATGCCAACATTCGTCACAATTCTCTCTATATAATGTGTCCAGTTAAATAAAACGGCTATTTGTATGAAAACCAGAATGCAGGAAAATTTGTCTGTTTAGGTATTAAAGCAATTTGGATGAAATATATTTATAATTATGTGGCCATGATTGTTTAAGCTTATATTACAACAAGCTATTGTTGCTTTCTTCGCGGATTTCTTGCTTAACAACTTGTATTTTGTATCTAATTTGCATGGAGATATGTTGCTGATCCTTTTACACGAGACGTTTAGTTCTGACCCTGTTGGCAGTCGAGGAACGAGGTCATTAAATTATTCAGTATCCTTTGTCCTTCATCTGCTTGGAAACAAGAGAATGACCTTAAACAGCCTGGTTGGCATGGTGACGCACCATATAGACTGAACAGATATATCAGATGACCTTTGTCTTTGCTGGATTTCTGTAGGAAACTGTATGGTTGAAATATGTATATTACGGGATATTACAGGGCTGGACTTATGTTTTCGTGTGTTTGTGATTAATTGGCAGTCTTTAAGGCCGTTCTAGCACTCAGGAGACGCAGGCCCTCGTGTTTTTGCAAGGATTAAAGATTAAAAAAAATAATAAAAAAATATAAAAATCAGACGAGCCCCGATTCGATATGCTTCTGTGTACAATAAGCATTTCGAGTCGGGGGTCATCGGACTTTCTTTTACAGTCTATAATCCTCGCAAAGACACGAATGCCTATGGCAGGAGAATGTTCACGGGCCGATGACCACCCGAGGTAATCATGGCGCTACATTCGAGATGTAGAGTCTTCTGTTAATATGTTCCGATTGCGTTACCGGGTGCATGCGTGACAAACGCGCTACATTTCGAGACAAGTCCGATAAACTCTAATTCCGTGTCTCAAAGTAATAGGTAACCTGAGTACAACAGCACTCGCTTATTCTCGTTAAAATATTAATGAATCCCTCTCAGGTAAACATATCCTTCTCATAAAGTGTGTATTAGCATACAGTTCACCACATGTTCTCATCTTATTATTTTAAGTAAGATTTAAGGTAAGAGAAATTAAGCCATAGAAATTCTAATATCTAAGGATGTTGAATTTATTTGGGCGGAGCTGGGTATTTTTAAGTCTTATTCTCAGCATAAGTGACTTTTAATTTCCATCTATTTACGTCACAGACGTGCCATTGTCTTATTCGATTAAACCAGCAGAACAGGCTACATGGAATATTCAGGTACAGATACGTTCTGCAATCTGATTGGTGGAAATGCGTATAAATATTCCTCTTTGATTAATATCTCTTCTAACCAAGTCGCAGATGTGAAAACATGACAAGGGTTGGTTACATGGATGAAAGGTTGAGAAAAAAAACCCCAGAACAAATGCACACTGACTTATTACGGCGGTGGGATAGCCTAATAGTAAAAGCGTTGAAGAAGACACGGGTTCGATTCCCCACATGGGTACAATGCGTGAAGCCCATATCTGGTGTCCCCGCCGTAATAATGCTGGAATATTGCTAAAAGCGGCGTAAAACTAAACTCAGTTCCAGGGCTGACTCTGGCACAAAGCGATCTTAGCTACTATTTCTACTGAAAGATAGTCGGCTAAGATCGCTTTGTGCAAGTTCCGGGACTAAATCATCAGGACCAACTGGTAGCTGTTATGGTAGAGTACCAAAGGCACATGCTTCAGAGCATATCATTTTAAACGGGAGGGGTGGAGGAGGCCATGCAGTTGGACGAGGTCCCCAGGTCCTCTTGGTTCATTGTGTGGTGGCCTAACTTTGGTTCTTGGCGATCAATAGCCACCTTCCATCTTTTGTTGTTTTTCAGTAAAGGTTACCTCTTCTAAAATGAGAAAGGATAACAATATATGGATGAACAACCTCCTTATTACAGTGAGAGCAACATTTCGGTGTAGATTCTAACACGTTACCAAGCATGTTGTGTAATCATTTGCTTGATAACAGTGTGAGAACCTACACCGAAAGGTCGACGTCGTAATAAAGAAGTTGTTCATCCATACTGTTATTCTTCCTTACTGCTCGAACTTCTAAATGCCTTCCAAAGAAGAAATGTTTTAAAATGTTCTGGAACAACTTAAAAATATTTCTGAAATTGTTCTAGCATTGCTATGTATTCATACAGATTTCAATATTCTATAATTAAAACATAGATTTTTCTCTATGGCTCGATGTGACTAAATATGAGCTCACTCCCCTGATGGGTTGGGTGATACTCGGATTTGACACTCGGCAAACACTTGGATAATTCATTACTCATGAATATGTTTCATGACAAGTGTCTTCTCTTCTCAATTTCAAATTTTAAAACTTCGCATCTTCCGTTTTGATTAAGAGATTACCTCGTTCATTAAATACTGGACAAAAGGATTGTCCACATAAATGTATTGTTCATTCGTTGTACTGATTTATTCACTACTGTTAACCAGACAGGTTATTAGGTTTCAGTTTGTGTACATACGAACAGTTCGCGAAAACACACCTGACAACAACTTACTTCGCGGAAAGCTCGAGCATGCAAAAAGCGTGCATTTTCGCCACGTGTGTAGTTCGAAGTGGGATTGAAGTTAGTTCGTTTCGATATGTTGATAAGGCAGCACGCCTTGAGATCGTTCGTTAGTGGTAACCATTTGGGTGTTAGATTGTTTGACAGAGGTTTAGTGTAATAGAAACTTAGGAATGTAAGATATTGTAAAGGTAATAAAAGGTAAATTAAAACAAATATTAGATTCTGATTTAGTGGTTTTGTTTGATATCACAACTAGTACAATTCCTGCTGACCAAAATGGTAGCAGAGCGTGGTTTATCGTGGTGTCTTCGTGGTTAGTTCGTGGTTTATTAGTTGTTGCACATGGTTATTGCCTGATGGTGGTTCATGGTGTTGCAAGTTAGAATTAGTTTGGATGCAGGAATTGTTCTAGACTGTGAAAGGTAAGTTAGCTGATAGAAAGTTTGTTAGGTTAGTTTTAAAAAAACAAAGAATAATAATGTCAGAACCTAAACAGGTAAGTCCAGATGAAACGGATTTAATAAAAACGGAAACTAAGCCGGTCCCTGATCAAAACAGTCAGTCGAGGACAGTCGTTGAAGATGTTTTGATAAAACTTAAAAAGCAAAAAGCCAGTGCAAAGTCTGCTTTCACGAAAGCTAGAAATAAACTCTACAACATGACCGAGGGTCAGAATGTTCAAACCCGTAGGGCTGTTAGAAATCAAATGGACCAATTGTGCATTGTGCAAGATCATGCAATGGAAATAATGATAAAACTGTCAGAAGAATATTCAAAAATCAATGATGTAGCAAATGTTAAAAACATTAGCATGGAAATAACTAGGCTTGAAGATGAAAATGACAGTGCACAGGCACATGCTCAGCAGTACTTAGACTCTAGATCAGATGCTAGTTCTGCACTTAGTTTAAGAACAGGGATGTCAATGCTGTTTAGTCGTGATGAAGGCAATAGTAAAGGGCACAGTTTACCTGGCGCACAGAAGCCAACTAAACAGGGTAAAACAAGACCCACAGTTAACAAAGAAACTGCAGGAAATGAAGATGAATTTGATCAACCAAACGTCATGTTAAATGTCAATCCACACTATGAGCACAGTATACGCACAAATATCCCAGAACAAACCGCTAAAGGTGCAATAGGACGTGACATGTGGAGGCAGTTGGGTAGAGTTACTATTCCAGTGTTTGCTGGCGATGTTAGATCGTATCAGGGATGGAAAGCAGCATTTATTGCATGCATTGATAATTCACCAGCAACACCGGAATACAAACTACTGCAGTTGCGTCAGTATTTAGCAGGGGAAGCGCTTAGAGTGGTTAAAGATTTGGGACATAATGCAATTGCTTATCAGGTCGCTCTTGAAAGACTTGAGAGAAAATTTGGCGGCAAGAGACGACAGATTGCATTACATCTTGCAGAAATAGACAATTTCAAACCCATTCGACCTGGTCATGCAAAAGACCTAGATAGATTTGCAGACATGCTTGATGTAGCTGTAGTTAATCTTCGCGAATCTGACAGGGTTGAAGAATTAGGAAATGGCTTACTTTATATGAAGTTGCAAACAAAGATGACTGAGGCCATGGTTACAGAGTATCAACGTTGGGTATATGATAGACAAAGGCAAGAATCAGTTGAAACTCTCAGAGAATGGGTGCTCCAAGAAGCAGAGTTTCAAACTATTGCAGCTGAGACCATTCGTGGTGTCTGTGATAAGTCAGTAAAATCAGAGTACAAACGAGCTCCTCGTACATTTCTAGTGCATGATAGCAACCAGAATCGTGGTACACACTATGCTGGTGAGAAGTACTTGTGCAGAGTATGTACAGAGCCTCATGATGTATGGAACTGTAGAAAGTTCATCACGTTAAAAGTTCAAGATAGATGGAACAAAGCAAAGGAATTAAATCTTTGCTTCCGCTGCCTCGGAAGCAATCATCGTGGTAAACACTGTTGGCGAACAACGTTGTGTGGAATAGATGGATGCACAAGCAACCACAACAGGCTCTTGCATGTAAATAGGGACAGGGTTCATTCAGCTGTCAGAGCTGAAAAGGGTTCCGTTGAACAAAGCAAAGTGGAAAATACAGACAATAATTCAAAAGGAAACCATGAACGGTCACATGCAACTAATATGGAATGCAACGTAGCTTCAAAACCTTCATTCATAGGGCTTAGAACAGTGCCAGTGATACTAAAACATGGGAATCGCAGAGTCACAGTTAATGCGTTATTAGATGACGCGAGCACAAGGTCATATATTAATGCAGACGTTGCTGCAGAGCTAGGACTGCAAGGTGAAACCAAAAAAGTGACGGTGAATGTTTTGAATGATGAGAAAGCCTCGTTTGAAACTATGCCAGTGGCATTTGGACTTGAGAGTAGAGATGGAGAAGTTGACGTTAGTATAACTGCTTTCACAACAACCAAGGTTACAGGTGATTTGCAGGTTGTTGACTGGAAGAAGTACGGTAAGTTATGGCCACATTTGAAAGACATAGATTTTCCTAAAATTGCCTCCCCTCCAATTGTAGATATGCTCATAGGCATGGACAATGCAGACCTTCATTATTCCTACTCAGATGTAGGCGGAAATCCAGGCGAACCTCTAGCAAGGTTAACTCCTCTAGGCTGGACCTGTATTGGAAATATTGCAGGGACAGGCTCTGACATTCAGTCTCACTTTACCAGTACTTTCTTTTCTGGTTCCAATGCTGATAACCAAGAGCTAAATATGTTGTTGCAAAAGTTTTGGGAAATTGAGCGATTCCAGTCGAAAGAAAATGAAAATATGAGCCCTGAAGACAAAAATGTGCACAATAGGGTGAAAGATACATTGGTGTATGAGGATGGTCACTATCAAATTGGCATACCATGGAAGAAAGAGGTACATGCTTTACCATCTGATAACTATCAGATGGCTCTCAGTCGTCTTGAGAGCACAGAAAAGAAATTAGCAAAGGATGAGACAATAGCTCAAGCATATGATGATATCATCTCACAGTATCACAAAAAAAGGGTATATAAGAAAAGTATCTCCCGAAGAAAAGACACATACTGGAAAGTGGTATCTGCCACATTTTCCGGTTGTACGTTTAGATCGTCTCACAACAAAAGTGAGGATTGTATTTGATGCTTCGGCCAAGTACAAGGGTATTTCTCTTAATGAAGTTATCCATCAGGGCCCAAAGCTACAGAGGGAACTTTTTGATGTCTTGTTGAGATTTAGACGCAATCCAGTTGCAGTGATGAGCGATATAGCAGAGATGTACCTTCAGGTCAAATTATCTCCAGATGATAGGCCCTATCATAGGTTCCTTTGGAGATCCATGAAACGAGATGAGCAGGCCATAGAGTATGAGTTCAGTAGAGTTGTATTTGGGGTGAATGCATCTCCTTTTTTTAGCTCAGTTTGTGAGTCAGGAAAATGCCAATAAACATCAGGGTGATCTTCCGTTAGCTGCAGAAACTGTGAAAAAAGCTACATATATGGATGATAGCATGGACTCTGTGGAGGATGAGAAAACAGCCATTGAGTTGTACAGACAGTTGATCGAGCTTTGGAATAGAGCTGGAATGCGTCCTCGGAAGTGGCTTTCAAATTCTCACGAGGTTCTCAGTCAGATACCTGTTGAAGAACGACTATCAGAAGTCAAGTTAGACAGTGGTTACTTACCCTCGACAAAGACACTCGGCCTCATGTGGGCAGCTGAAAGAGACGTCTTTACATTCACTTCCAACTTACCTGAAATGAACAACACAATCTCAAAAAGAATCTTCCTTAGTCAAATAGCAAAACTGTTTGATCCTCTAGGATTTCTTGCACCCTTCACTGTAAGGGCAAAGATCATCTTACAAGAAATGTGGACAGTAGGGTTAGATTGGGACGAGGAACTAGACAATGATCTGAAAGAGAAAGCATATCAGTGGCTTATGGAACGGGAAGATTTAATACACATTCAGGTTCCAAGATGTTTGAGTTGTGGTAACAAGGTGAAAGAAACTAGACTACACAGCTTTGTAGATGCATCTGAAAATGCCTATGGTGCCATTGTGTATGCTGTGAATACTTACCAGAATAATGAAATCTCCAGTGTAATCATTGCTGCGAAAGGACGAGTAGCACCACTGAAAGCTATTAGCATTCCACGCATGGAATTAATGGCTGCTGTGACTGGACTCAGATTAGTTGTTGCAATAGCAAAGGTTTTGGACGTGTTGATTGACACGGTTACATTTTGGACAGACAGTTCAAATGCTTTGGGATGGATAAAGAACCATAGCCGAACATTCAAACCATTTGTAGCAAATAGAGTTAGTGAAGTTCAAGAACTGACAAATCCGTGTCAGTGGCGGTATGTGCCAACAGACCAAAATCCAGCAGATATGTTGACTAGAGGAATAGCTGCATCAAAGTTGATTGACAATCAGATGTGGTGGTCAGGACCCCTTTTCCTGGCTAGAGATGAAAGTGAATGGCCCAGAAATCTGTCTGAAAGAGAAGACAGAAGGAAATGTTTACCAGAAACTAAAACTCTGAAGGAAAACAAGATAATTACCATGTTAGTGAACGACTCGTCCTGTGAAGAGTGGAGACTCAAAGCTACACGATACTCAGATTGGAGAAGACTGACAAGAATCCAAGCATGGGTATACAGATTCTTGAACAACTGTGTTGAAGGGAACCTTAAAAGGATTCATGGAGAACTGACTGCAGAAGAAATTGAAACAGCACAGTTCAAGATAATAGCACAGATGCAGAGAGAAGAATTTCCAGATGAATATTCCTGCCTTGAAAAGGGAAAACCGTTACCATCTAATAGCAAGCTATTAGGACTACAGCCGAAGCTGGATGAAGATGGAGTGATGAGATCTGATGGACGATTGGCTTATGCTGAGCACCTTTCTCAAGATTCAAGGTTTCCGATCATCTTGCCGCGAAGAAACTGGATCACAAGATTGATTGTGAAGTCTTACCATGAGGAAGGACGTCATATTACAGGAACCAATCAGACATTAGCAGCACTTTCTGCAAGATTTTGGATCCTTTCTGGCAGAGAGGAAATTAGAGCCTGGGAGCGACAATGTTCACAATGTCGTAAGCAGAAGGCGAAAGTAGCACACCAGATCATGGCTCCTCTTCCAAGCATGAGACTCAAACCTTCTCTCCGTGCTTTCACACAAGCAGGACTCGACTTCGCTGGACCTTTTCTGACAGTACAGGGAAGAGGAAAAGCAAGAATGAAGCGCTATCTATGCCTCTTCACGTGCCTTGCGTCGAGGGCTGTACATCTGGAGATCGCATATGGCCTGGACACGAATTCCTTTCTCAATGCATTTTATCGCATGGCCAGTCGCAGAGGACTCCCTGAGGACATCGTGTGTGACAATGGAACAAACTTCGTTGGGGCTGAGAAAGAGCTCAAAGAACTCGTTGAATGTCTGGACAGTGATGCTGTGAAAGGAACATTAGCAAATCGTGGAACAAAATGGAAGTTTAACCCTCCATATGCACCTCACTTCGGAGGTGCGTTTGAGACAATGGTCAAAGCGGCCAAAAAAGCAATCTTCGCTATTCTGGGAAACAGTGATGTAACAGATGAAGAACTCATGACAGCGTTCATTGGAGCAGAAGCCTTGATGAATTCCCGCCCATTGACCTATCAGACAGCACATCCACAGGATGATGTACCTCTGACGCCGAATCACTTTCTTCACGGACAGGCAGGAGGCGCCTTTGCTCCGGAATCGGTGGATACAACGACCTTCAACCCAAGGAAACGATGGAGAAGGATACAGGAGCTTATACGGCACTTCTGGAGCAGGTGGATGAAGGAGTGGATACCCAGTCTTAACAGAAGGAGGAAGTGGCTCACTCGTCGACAGGATATCAACGTGAATGACATCGTGCTGGTGATATCGCCTAACACACCACGTGGACACTGGCCTATGGGACGAATTATCAAGACTCACCCTGGGAAGGATGGTTTTACAAGAGTGGTGGACATACAGACTGGAAAAACAGTTTTGACCAGGCCAGTGACGAAAGTGTGCAGTCTGGAAATGGATTCCATCAACTGTTAGTTTCAAGGATTAAAAAAGAAAAGGATTCTGTGGACACTGTGACATTCAAAACGTGGACTTTGGAGATTCGTGGATGTGTGGAACTGAACTGTGAACATTTGATGTAACATTCTGGAAAAGTATTTTCGCAATGATGGATTTATTGTGACACTGGATTTATTGTGACATTGGATTATTGTGACACTAGATATATTGTGACATTGGAATTATTGTGACACTGAAAATGTTGTGACAATGGATTTATTCTGACATTTGTGACATTGGATTTATTCGCTGTACTTGCAGAATGTTTGGATATATTAGTGGATGCTATATGGATATTATTTTGAATCAGGTAAGTTCGTTATTTGTGTTGATAAACTCCGTTCTATCAAGGAGGGGGATATGGACAAAAGGATTGTCCACATAAATGTATTGTTCATTCGTTGTACTGATTTATTCACTACTGTTAACCAGACAGGTTATTAGGTTTCAGTTTGTGTACATACGAACAGTTCGCGAAAACACACCTGACAACAACTTACTTCGCGGAAAGCTCGAGCATGCAAAAAGCGTGCATTTTCGCCACGTGTGTAGTTCGAAGTGGGATTGAAGTTAGTTCGTTTCGATATGTTGATAAGGCAGCACGCCTTGAGATCGTTCGTTAGTGGTAACCATTTGGGTGTTAGATTGTTTGACAGAGGTTTAGTGTAATAGAAACTTAGGAATGTAAGATATTGTAAAGGTAATAAAAGGTAAATTAAAACAAATATTAGATTCTGATTTAGTGGTTTTGTTTGATATCACAACTAGTACAGTTCCTGCTGACCACAGTCCCTAAAGTTAGGTTGACAGACTATATAGCTTTATATATTCAACCCTACCCAATAAATGCACGATGTAAAATGTATTTTAAACGTCAATATTGCAACGAAATCAGCATGTCAAATGTCCGAATTGAGGAGGGACAGAGAAAAAGCTCTCAGCGTAATGGACAATGGGCACACACATCTAATCCATTCAAGTTCAATGAAACGCCACAACAACTCTCCGGCGCACAGAAAAAGTCGCTCATACTGTTAATGTAGCAACAGTACACATCTGTGTAAAACAAAAGAACTGATATTTGTATCTCCTTTGTATTTATACATAACTCGACAATTTCTGTTTACCGACTAAAGCAAGACAGTATGCGTTACCAGCATCATTCATTGCACGTTACCGACATCCAGACTTTGAGTTACCGACATCCTCGCGCGATTTTAAAAATGCTTATTCTTCAACACATAGACATTAATAAGCAGATTTAGTACATTCAATGTATTTCCACCATCAAAGTTTATCAGTGTGCTAAATAATGTTGATTGTATACACGTGGAAGGCTGCTAATTCGCGGGGAATAATCGCCAAGCGATCTTACCTGCCGCCATGTTGGGATGTGCGTTACCAGCATCACCCTAGGTACAGTGATGACTTGTTTGGGGGTCTGCAGGAACTTCAATCATGACTGGTGCGGTGGGGTAGCCTAGTGGTTAAAGCGTTCGCTCGTCATGCCGAAGGCCGAGGTTCGATTCCCCACATGGGTGCACTGTGTGAAATCCATTTCTGGTGTCCCCCGCCGTGATATTGCTGGAATATTGCTAAAAGTGCCGTAAAACTAAACTCACTCACTCACTCACTCGATCATGACCTTGACCCTGTCCCGAGTCAGCTACTGAGTACTTACTTGTGATGTTGTAGTCGATAACGGTGGTACAGGCGGGGGTGGTTGAGTCTGAATGGAGGGGATGGGAGGGAGGGGTACCGAAGGGACGGAGGGGGTTGGGGGCATGGAGGAAGGCGTGGTTGTGACAGTGGGAGGCTGGGGTAGTTCCCGGGGGTAGGAATCCATGAAGTTTGGGGAGGCGATCGCCAGGGCGGCGGTTATGTCAGGCATGTTGTCAGCTTGTCTTTCCCCGTAGTCGACAACAGAGGAGCCGGGGCCGTTGTCGTTGTTGTCTGAAACATGCAATTCCCTAAATATAATACAGTCAACCACGTTTATAGCGAACACGTTTGTAACGAACTGACTGATATAACGAACAGGTTTTCTTGGTGTATAACAAACTACGTTATCACGAACACGCTTGTAACGAACTGACGAACTGTTTTTCTTGGTGTATAACACACTACGTTTATCACGAACACGCTTGTAACGAACTGACTGATATAACGAACTGTTTTTCTTGCTGCATACTGATAAGTCAGAGGTTGTCTTTGTTTGGCGACACCCTTCTGGGGTGGAGAAACGTACCCTGGTGGCTGGGTAACCTAGAGCGGTGGGGTAGCCTTGTGGTTAAAGCGTTCGCGCGTTACGCCGAACACCGGGTTCGATTCCCCACATGGATTCAATGTGTGAAGCCCATTTCTGGTGTCCACTGCCGTGATATTGCTAAAGCGGCGTAACACAAAGATCACTCATTCACTAACGTACCGTGTCCATCTCCGTTGTCGGGACGTGGGTGGACGGCCGTCTTGGGACGTATGCAGTTCAAGTCGATGAGGGAGCTGAAGTGGAAGGAATATTGGAAATAACGATAAAAAGCTAGTACGTATATAATAGGAACACTGGAGTAATAAGGCACCCTCACATTTCCCCGTTATAATAGAAACTATGTACTCACTATTTCTTGGCGATGTACGCGCCCCCGAGAGCCACGTAGCCGAGGAAGAGAATGATGCAGAGAGATCTGACCACCCACTCTGCTGACTCACCTCCCCCTCCCCCCTGTGAACCACCTGTGGACAGACACGACCACCAGTCATTCATTATATCAATCACCTTGTCTGCTACTGTGGTCAACATTAACCGTCAAAGTGTTTTCCAGACAGTGACATAAAACAACGAAGAAAAAACAAACCGCAACTCTGATCCACACACGTCATTGATGGATGAATATGGTTTTACACCGCATTTAGCAATATTCCAGCAATATCACGGCGGAGGACACCAGAAATGGGTTTCACACATTGTACCCATGTGGGGGATCGAACCTCGGCCTTCGGCATGCTGGAAACGAGCGAACGCTTTAACCACCTCTCCACAAAGAGAGGAAACTAGGCTACTGTTCATTTCCCCACCGCACCAGTCATGATTGAAGTTCCTGCAGACCTTAATTTAGAACAAGCTGATTGGTCATCACTGTACCTAGGGTGATGCTGGTAACGCACATCCCAACATGGCGGCAGGTAAGATCGCTTGGCGATTATTCCCCTCGAATTAGCAGCCTTCCACGTGTATACAATCAACATTATTTAGCACACTGATCAACAAGTCTTGAAGGATTATATCTCAGTCTATAAACATCTTTCACCTATGACGATGTATACTATTGAATTCTCGTTAAAATTACGTTGCACAAAGAGGTAGTCCAGTGGTTAAAGCGTTCGCTCGTCACGCCAACGACCCGGGTTCGATTCCCCACATGGGTACAATGTGTGAAGCCCATTTCTGGTGTCCCCCGCCGTGATATTGCTGGAATATTGTTAAAAGCGGCGTAAAACTATACTCACTCACCCACTCCACAAAGAGGAAACGATTAACATTGTACCCATGTGGGGATTCGAACCCGGGTCTTCGGCATGACGAGCGAACGCTTTAACCACTAGGCTATCCCACCGCCCCTATTACTGTAAAACAGCAAGACTAACCTGGCAGCCCTGGGATGGGGTTCGTGTTGTTTCCGTCTTGGTGACTGCCGTCGGTGGTGGTGCGTAAAGTGATGTCGTTTGGGTGTGATGAAGGGACAAGCCACGGGGGAGATTCCGACGTTGCAGTGCCGTTTTCAAACAATGTCAAGGTTGCATCGGTGACCTCTCCATCCTCTATGGTTACAGACTCGGTGGCAGGTTCTGACGATACTTCATGCAAGTTGTCTTTTGTCGTCGGCCGAGGATTCCCTCCTTCCACACTTCCATCCTTCGGAGGTGGCTCGGTTGGTGTGGGTGTGGGTGTAGGTGGGGGTGTGGGTGTGTCCCGCTTTGCTTGTACAGGAACCTTTGTTGAGGGCTTGCCGCTACATTTCTTGTACTCGATTACCATGTAACCTGTGCTGCTCAGGGGTTTGGGGAAACCGCCATCCGACAATTTAAGGGGAAAGAACTCTTTGTATTTTTCTTCTTTATACAATTCAGGTCCTGGCCACGCTTCCAGAAAAACAGCAGCAGTGTATGGGCCAACGAGTTTGATCTCAACAAAGTCACTCTTCTTAGTGGAGGTCAGTTTAAACATACTCGTAGCATCCTCGTCGGACATTTTTATTCGGAGGATGTCATCGCCTTCTTGTTTGTCACAGCTGACGGTGACAGAATAGACCGGCTCACCAAATGCAGGTTTATGTTGATTGATATCCGTTATCTCTATGGTAAGGACACCTTTGATCGTCATCTGTGGTTTTCCTTCATCTATGGCGTTTAGGATGACCGTGAAGGATCTGGCACCCTCAAGGTCGGACATTGTCGTTAGGAGACCCGTGTTGGGGTCAAAGCTGAACTGATTCATCGCATCCGTATGTTTGTCTAGAAACAAACAATGATTGGTCAGACTACATGAGTGAGTGAGTGATTTATAGTCATATCGGCAATATTCCAGCCAAATTGTGACTTAGAAAATATCAAATTAACAGCAAACACCTGTTGACAAGGACAGTAAAATGATAGATTATCACAGAGAGAGAATAAATACTAGCATGAAACTTTATAATTAAGCAAATATCATACAATACAACATAAACACGGGCTGGAGATCACCGGGAACTGAAAGTAGATCACCATGCTAAAATGGGACTTACAGTACTTTTGCTACCTGCATGTCCCCTGGCTTGATTTAAATCATTCCTTCAGATGCTGGTGAGTTTTGCACAATTTAGCCAAATATTATAAGACTATATATTACGACAATGAAATATTCTTGAAATAAAATGGGACTTTCGTACCCTCTCGGGGTACAATAATTTTACACTACTTCAACCCCATTTGAACGT